ATCAAGTAGCTTTTGGAATAAAACACCAATTTTTTTAAAATTAAACACTATCTAAAGATTTGCATCGAAGCGTTTATTTTTGATAGTGATTTTAATCACTGTCAGATATCATTATACTTGATCCAACTATACCACGTCACAACTGTGCCGCGACCCCCTGTGCTGGGTTTTTTGTTATTATGTTATTTAGTTTTATATTTTTGTTTAGTTTATTAAGTATACAGATGCTTTCTGTCTATTTGTTTTAAACATGTTTATAATACAAAATTTGTTGATATATTTAATCAAGTTTATTGTTATGTATATCTTTTGTGTTGAACTTTGGCTTTATAATCAACTTACTGTTCAAATGTACCTTTTTCACTTAGATTCTTTTTTTGATGTCCAGGCAGAGTTTATATTAGGATACGATTTTGCATATGCGCATAGTAATATATTTTGTATATTTTATTAAGGAATGTTTGATAAATTATATATCAATTTCTGCACGGTTATAAGTATATAAGTTTGTAGATACATTATCGGAACAATACAGTATTAATAATTTTATTTATTTCATTTATAAGTCTATGAGTTTATCGTAAAAATACATTCATGACAACTATGCTGTACAAAGTCAATTCAAAGTAACTAATATTCTTATCAAAATTGACTTTTTTACATGGTCCCAGGAATAATAATCTGCCGAATTTTTCTGTCTCTCTCTATATACTATTTTACTAAGCCCCTCTGAATATGAGCCACCTGGTAATTATTCTATAATATTAATATAATTACTATATATTATTAATTATTGTGTATACCAGGGGCATATTTATGGGGGATAAGGCCAATTGTCCGCATTGAACTAGCGCTATTAATATTTTTTTAGGCAGACTTCTATGAAATATAGCTTTAATGACCTTTTTTTTTGATCATCACTTTGATTTTTATAACATGATAACCAAATTAAAAAAAATTAAATACTTCCCAGGTGCATACCTCATTAACAAATGTCAACCTTATACCCAATACATTTTATTATGTTCTCTTTTTGAATTTTCCTGATTTTAATATATTTTGTTATACTGATTCTGATGTAATATTTTTCCTACAAAACATTTATCGTGCCCTCCTACTGGAATCAGTGGTCACTTATGAGGACGATCCAAAGAGGCTTACCCACCAAAAGCGTATAGGCTCGTAGGGCCCAGCTAGACTAGACTTAGTTAGAATGATATTTTTGTTATTAAAATAAAAACTAAAATAAATTTTTATTTAGTAAATCAATAAAAGATAACTCTTCCAATTTGACTAACAGTCGTAATATAACTGTTAATGAAAATGAAAAAAATGAATTGGGCAATATAAATAATTCATTGGAATCTTCCAATGATGAATTAGAATCTGATGATTTGAATGCTAATCTAAATGAAAAGCAGAAGCTAGCTGTAGATTGGATGGTAACTAGGGAATGTGAAGATCCAAATGGTGGAATAATTGGTAAGTTAACTTTATTTTTTTGTAATACATATTAATTGTAATATTTTATATGCAGCTGTAGACATGGGCACAATTAACCAAAAAGTTTTGATGATACTGAACTTAATATTAAGGTCAGGAATTTCCAATAGAGGTGATATTCATTCAGCAGGAGACTCTGATGATATTGATGAAACAACTTTAAACTTCACTGGTCACACATTAATAATTTGTACTAAAGCTACTTTAAATGAATGGTCAAAATCTTTGATGGATGATTCTTTTCCAAGCAACTTAAAAGTTTGTGTTCATTATGGTCGAAATCGTGATGTTTCACCACAAAGGTTATACTAATCAAATTTTAATTTTTAAAAAAATTGGTAGTTTTTAAATCAACCAATAAAATTCTCTATCTTGTAATAAGAAAAGCCAATGTAATTTTTTTTTCAAAATATGAGATATAGGACTAATTTTTTTCAATTTGCATCTAAACAAGTATTGATTGAAGTATAAAATACTGTAACAATAAAAGTTACTACACCAATATTGAATTTCTACTATAATGCGTTGTACATTACAATATTTTCTTAATTAATGTAATATTGAATATTGAAAATAATTGATTGTTGCCTCTAGATAAAATTTAATGGAACAAAGAAAGCAGTTAAACTTTTTTTAAGAGGAATTCAGTATATATTAAAATATTTTAATTTTTTTAATGACAAATATTATATAAAGAGTTGCATTTAAGTATGTAATGTTATCGATTATTATTTTCATAGCTTTCAATACATAATATTATAGCTTGACAATTATCTTTCATTACCATTATCTCTCTAAAAAGAGCTATTTGTAGAAATAATGGAACAAGTTTTGAGGGTAATTGAGAATCAATTCTGAGACGGTAATAGATAAAGATTGATGCCATCATAATGTCATCAACTTGCTTCCTTAAATTTATTTTTAAATGGATAAAAAATTAAATTTAACAATGTAGATTTTATGTATTCATTAAAAAAATTCTTAATTTGCAATTTTAGATTGTCTCAATATGATATAGTTCTAACTACAACCACATTAATAACAATAGGTTATAGAACAAAAAATGATGTAAGTAAAATAGTCCTGTATATTATATTATTAAAAAAAATTACTTTATAAAATGTCTTTAAGAATCCATTATTTCAAGTCAAATGGAATCGAATAATTTTGGATGACGCACTAAGTGTTCGCAACTATCAACTACAGTCATCTAAGGCTATCTGTCATCTGTCAAGTAATTGTCATTGGGCATTAGCTGGATCAAAATTTGTTGATGATAATGATGATGCTACTTTTAGCATGATTAAATTTATTAATTACAAACCATTGAATAATTCTGATGTATGTATAACTATAAATTATTTAATTTTTTTAATTTATCAACTATTAATACACATAATTAATATTAACATAAAATTTTAGCAATGGAAAAAGTGGCTTGAGAAAAATTCAAATGTGACAGCCAGACAAAAATTGAGACATCTTTATTACATAGATAAAATTGTTTAATACTTAGCTTCAATATTTGAACCATTCCTACAGTATACATGTGTATTATTTTTGTTTGTTTTCTAATGATTATTTTTTAAATATGTTCAGTTTATAACTAAGTGATAAAAATTGAATTATACTGTTTATTACATTTATTTATAACAAAACAACATTAAGATTCTATTATTTTATAACTTTTCTATTTGTATTTCTATAAGAAAAGTATAAACTGATAACATATACACAGCGAGTTTTAATTTTTTTCTGTTACCTATTTTTGGTTTATACATTCATAAATTTTTTTTTTTTTAATATATATGTTTAACATACAATTTACTTTTTCCATGTATTATTTTCATAATCCCATTTAGATGACAATCCATCAACTGGATCAACACGCAATTGAATCATACGTTTAAGTTGGGCTTGACGAGACTCTAATGACAATGATGGATCATCTGATGTGTTGGACACTGGAAATTAAATTAAACACAAAGTATTATAAATAAGAGTTGATAAACAACCAAATATTTATTTAAGACACATTTTATTATGAAAAATAAAAATTATTTTATAAAAACTCAAACAATTTAAAAAGACCACATTAACATAACAATGTTAAAATTTTTAAAACTTGTAAGTACTTTAATGGTTAATTTATGTTCTTAAATTTTATATGTGCAAATATATGAACTAATACTTAGATATCTAGATTACATAAATAATGTAGATATATATATTATCAAAGAATCATTTAAGTTCTAAAAAAGAAAATAAATAAATGCTAATTCAAGAACCTATCATACCATTTCTTATATTATTCAAGACACCTATCACATTTTATAGGAAAACTAAAAAAGAAAAAAATTAAGTTGAAATGGAATTGTCTAATATTGAAAGTTGATATATTTCAAAATTAAATTTTTGAACTATAAATATAACATTTTTTAAATTTCAATTAGTATTATTTTTGAATTTAAGTACTTACAGAATTTACGAACTCCAACAAAAGCCATAATTGCAACTGATGTCCAAACCATAACCCAACCAAATATAGCTTTCCATTCTCCTGTAGGAGCTTCAAGTTCAACTAAAGTTTGACAAAAACTAGCTCTGTACAAGGTTTTTTTTTCTTCTAGGGAAAGTTTTTTCCAGTCTCCTTTTTCTTTTTCGCGTAATGCCTATTTATTAAATAAATATAAATATATCATATGATATAAAATTCAAAAATACCAAATAATACATATTCTTTAAAATATGTACGTAGATTATTTAGTAGTCTGTAACAATTTAAATTACCATAATGTCTGGAGTGTTTTTCTTGAATCTAACACTGGGGAATGGGAAAGTAATGCTATCGAGATATACAGGTTCTCCATTGATACCATACCCAACAATATCTCTACCAACAATTTTGTCTTCGCGTACTTGTACAACACCTTGAATGGGAGGTTTTGGTTCAGCTTGGAAAACTGCAGCAGTTGAACTGTTAGCAGCTACACTTTTAAGTACACTTGGGCGAGCCAAAAATGAACGAATCATTGAATGAGACAACATATTCTATAAATTTAAAAGTATTAATTAAAAATTTAATTAATGATATTAAAGATTTAAGATTTACTGTAAACGATTATAATATCAAAGAAATTTCCTCAGCAATTGGGAGGTTAATATTAAACAAAATGTAATGATGGAGTTGTACTTTTAATCAAGGGCTTAAAAATTAAAAAACATATGGCATTTGATAACAAATTCATTAATTTAACACAATTTAAACAGTGCTTTTATTGGCAACACTGTATTATAATGCAGTTAGTGATTTGGTACACTCATAAAATGTATGTAGAGTAAATATAAGAAATATTCTGTCATGATACCATAACACTGGGTCAGATTTTAAATAAATTGATATTTTATACGGCTTTAATCTAAAGGTTATTTAATCATTAAAAATTCGAATTTTGTAGTCACTGATTACTATAATGATATTAATTTTTGAGGTTTTTAATTTTTAGTTGATTAGGGGCACTTCTGAAAATTTCTTAAAATTGCATCTATCATTACATACATTATTTTTTCATTTATTGCTATTCTTTTTAAGTTATGCGCAAAGTACTAAAATTGAATAAAATAATATATTATTAAAAAACAAAATTTGACGTTTTGCTATTATTTTAAGAAAAAAGATATCTTACATATAAAACCCGTTAGGTATTAGCACCTAATTTTTATAATTTACAATTATATACACGATTAACTGAGTTAAAAAAAATCGTTGGAACTTTTTTTATAACTCTTTTTAAATTTTGTAAATATAACAATTTTAGTTTTTCTTTTTATACGCATTGCCTGCCTTATTGATATATAATATGTTACTCTTATTGGTACATGGTTAGTGTTATAATAGACATGATACAATAGATTATGATTATGATTGCAATAGAATTATAAAAGTGCACTAAATTTTTGTTTTTGCGAATCAATATTTTATATAAACGTTGATCATTTCACTAGAAAATAAATAACATTTACATAATATATGTATCTTGTATATTACGTAAGTGTCTCACCAGTTTTTAACGTATTTAATAACCCTTGTTTAAGCAAATATTTTGAACAGCTTTTGATTACGTTACACCACATCTTTTATTAATTATCTATAACAATAAGAAAAAAAAAAGAATTTTTAATTATAATTTTTTGTAAATTTAAAAATATCTAATTTTTAGTTTTTTTCTTACAAAAAATGTTGATGGATCGATAACAATTTTAAGATAAGTACTTATTGGGTTACAAGTATTTTAATACATTGAGTATGTAGCACGCGTAGAGTGTGCGTTATAAAATATTCACCATTATGAGTTGTACCTACCCACCTTGCATAACCACAAATTGTATTAAAATGTAGTAAATGTAAGTATTTATCCTGAAGTTTAGTAATGTTCACTGAACAGATCTTTAATTCCATTTTTATAATTTGTTAATAGTCTCACAATAGTTAATATTTTCCTTTGTCCATTTTAGTTCCAACTTGACTTTCTAATGATTCCATATAAAAGTTTTTTTTATTTTAATGCTTTGAAATTTTTTGTTTCTCATACACTAGGTGACTCAAATATTTGTTTGGGGTAGCTAAATTAGCTAATAAATGGGACCATAACATGCATTCCCTACATTATAGAAAATATATCATAGTGATATAAGTTCATTTAATTATTTAATTATCTAAAACATAAAATAAAGGTTGAAAGTATAATGTATTAATTATAAAATAAGGTATTTTATACGATATGGATTATAATTATTGATACGTTTAACTTTATTTTTCTAACAAAGAAATATAGTTTTAGAAGATAAAAAAGTACAAAACTAAATAAACTAATTAAAAAAATAATGAAATTATGTCATAAAGGTTAAAAAAAAGTACAATTTTTGTCTATTAAATAAATATACAAACCAAAAAAGTAATATGTTTGAAAATACACACAACAAAAAAAAATTATATGTGCATTTTATTAGAAAAAATTAATTCATATAATAATCAAAAATGTTAACGTACATTAAATATAATAAAATACAACTGTTTTTTGAGACTAGAATAATATTTTGGTATTATTTAAAGTATAATGAAAGTAATATTTATATATATATATATATATATATATAATAGTAATATATTAATGTAATAAAAGTTCATATTATAACACTTGTTATAGAATTAGGCTAATAAGTTCGTCATAGGCGCAACTAAATATGATAGTGTAAACATTTAATTGTGTTAGTCTAGTTACAATTTCTTTCTAATAACAACCAAATTTTCATATTTAATTAAAATCATTTCTCAACTATGTATTGCTGTTTTATGAAATAAAATATTTTTCAGTAAAATTTTGCTTCATCAGATTATCACCACAGAATTCAAAACGCATTAGTAATATATATGTATAACTCAGATACAATAAATTCAACGGATTGAGGTTGGATCTGTTGAAGCGTCAACCTGGATGACTGCAGTAGAAGTAAATGAAGGTAAACCCAGAAATCTAAAATCATACAATGTTTAACCTGATGATAAAGATAACAATACAAAATCTTGTGAAATATTAAGTTCGTATACTGACATTATGTGCTCTATACAGACTAAAAGTAGAAATTATCTACTCTAATATTTTCTCCTATCTTACTGGCACTAGGACATTCTCAAATATTAATAAATTGTTCCACTTATGATTCAAAATCAATTTGCGCCTATGCGAATTACGAAAACATAAATATAATTAATAAAAATCCAAGTTTTAATCAAAATATTTATATGACTCTATAATGTAAACTAATCAATAAAATATGCTATATGATACCGTCCAAAATCCATGTTTATATATAAATAACATTTTTAAATACATAAACACTATATATTTAAGTATAATTGTGCGTATATTGTCAATTATAAATATTTTGAGGTCCGTATTCGAACCCTTTGATGAATACCTTGTTCGAATATAAGCATAGACAATAAAATAATATATTACTATAATCATTTTAAAATTATGTTTAAATAGTATTAGATGGAGCTATAATAAACTACGTAATAACATTATAATAAAATAAGTTTATTATCTATACACAATTGGTAACCGTCAATTGCTTAGAGAAAAATAAACATAATTAAAAAAACTACGTCTTCGAAAAATTATTTTGACGATAATAGTTTTGAATTAATCTAATCAAAATGAGTACTGTGTAAAAATATATTTAAGCTATTATCTTTCTTAATTCAAATAATAATAATTCGAATGAGACCGAGAATATTTTAGGATTCAACCGTAACCGGTTGCTGTTGGTTAGCTTTGCGACAGTTGCACAGCCATTTTATTATTCTAGCGTTTCGTTCCACTATAGAAGTTGACTCCACGTGATGCAAACTTCCTCCGTTACTTTTCTCGTTTCCACCATAGTTGTTGTTATTGTTGCTACCGCCGCTTACTGATCCTACAGAGGAACTTATATTTGAGCCACCCTGAAAACATGTGTCCGAGTCGTTGTCTGGATCAACGTACTTTATTATAGAGCTAAAATAAAACAATTTCATATGATAACAATCATTTAATGATGAAATGCTCATCCAGCCATCACTTAGTAAAATCAATAAAAATAGAGATCATTTTGTTAAAACGCGAATTTCAATAATAATTAAAAAAATAACAGCAAATATATTTACTAAAGTGTTTGGCTTTAATCGCTTTTTTTAAATAAATATTATTAATCCAATGATCAAATTAGCAAACAAGTGCAGTTAAGCTCATTTTTTTCAAATAAGTTGATTACTAGAACATTATTTTTAGTTTTTAACGTAATAAATAATTAGTTAATTTACTCGGAGAAAAAAATTAAGAAATATAACTTTTAAAACTATTAAATATATGTATAATTGAAAAATCAAATTTGTCGTTTCTTAATTTTTTTTCATCTGTGACTTGATGTTGTAGAACAAAACAATCATTGACAAAATTGGAAAATATAATCAGAAAATTATTTACTTGTATTCTTCTGGTTCCAGACCTAGATGACCGAAAAAATTCTCTAATTGCTCTGGGTCATAGAATTGTTGATTAGTGGAAGCGACGTGTGGAGCTAAGCTCAATACATTAAGCGCCCTGTAACCTACGTCCGACTTGCTTCTCAGAATAGGTCGAGCTTTACAAATGTTGGGTTGGTCTGTTGCCGTTGGTTGTTGTTGACTACCACTTTCATCTGTTAGTGGTATATGAGGAGGAGGAGGCAGTAAAGGAAAACTCGATGTGCAGCCAGTAGATCGTGGACGACGGTTTGGGGTTGACAGCGACGATTTAGCTGGAGAAAATGATGAGCGAGTTGGTGATAAATTGTCTACATTTTCTTCTTCAATCGAACTGCTCGTTTCACCACCATGTGCCTAAACACATCATGAAACATAAAATAAGGGCCATTTTTTAACATGTTTGAGAATAAAATAGAATATCAGAGAATATTTAAATAAAAATAAAATCACCTAATTATATTTAATATTACTATAACAGTTTGAAAATCTTTGTACACTTAATGAGAAATCGAAGGAAAAAAGTTAGTAAGGTGTTTAATGTTATTCATGATATTTTTTTATATAGATGTAACCCAATTTAAATTATAGGTCGACCTAATAATGATTTAAGTATTTCATTAGAATAAAACATGCCCAGTATTAAGTTCTATTGCAAAATTAATAAATATGAAAATATAGTTTATGTAAATATTTCTATGTATAGGTAAACCCAGCTTCTATTGTCAGTAAAAGTAAAGACACTTGAAAACTTCTTAAATATTTATAGAAAAACTATCAAAGGTACTTCGAGTTTTTTAACGGTTGATTTATAAAGTAATACAACTCAAAAGTATAGAGACTGCATTAAAGTCAGTTAAAACGAATATACGAATCCAGTTAGATTGGCCTAGAACCCAGTTTGCCCAATTTTAGATAATCGAATGCGTCTTAAATCTATGTAATGTATATTTATCGTTCAATTTGTTTACTCTAAGCAATATAATTAAACTTGATGTTAAATGTCTTAATTAAGAAAAAATAAATTATACTTTTAGTTAAGAAATTTAGAGAAACTTACAATTTTATAAACGTTATTGAATTTTAATTGTCTAGCTTTTATACGTGAAAAATAAGTAGGGAATTTCATTACTCATCGTAATTACTTTAGTTATTATTAGTACTTTAAATGCTTTAATAATGCTTTCTATAATTATTCTTACTAATATTTAACTTTAAAATTAATATAACAAATATATATTTTTTTGTGTGTAAGTGTGTTTATAAAATTATCAAAATAAATTATTTGTTAAAACATTGACTTAAAAAAAATATTCAAACAAACCGACATCTGATGTTACGTTTGGACCGAGTCCAAAACATTATAATATTATCTCTAGCGAATAGAACAATTTTCTCACGAATGAAGGTTAACTAATGAGGGAGGGAATAGAGGAAGGTTGGCTATATTCTACGGTCAAGAAACAGATGTCGACGGTTTGTCAGTTAAAGTTTAAACGGAAGACGAAAAAACAGCAACGTGACAAAAGCATGTGAGTCTTCTCAGTACTTTGCTGTTTGTGCCATTGAAAAAATGTACCACAATAATGAATGAAAGCTAATCCTTAGAATCTATAATACTCTCTCTATGACTTACAGACTGTTGCCATCTGGCGTCCGTTTTGTAACTGGTTAGGCTAAGGGAATCCGGAAAAGAGGTTACGTTCGTAGTAGTGTCCGTTTCATCCTGGGGCAGTATTCTACTTGACTTGTTGACGTTTCCAAATCTGTAAATCGTGTACGATAATACATAAATTGGTTTTGCTATTATTTTATCTGCCCAGCAATAAACTACCCACTTAGCAGATGATAAATGCTCAAATTTATTGTACATTATTATTGAAATAATAGGCCATGTTTGAAATTTGCAAAATCAAACATAAGAAATTGGGAAAGTTGACAAAATCTCAAGTTTTAAACCGTGAGTCCTCAAAAAAAAATATGAAATTGGAGTTTTAGTTAATAGCTTTTAATGGCTTAATTGTTTTTTTTAAATTATTTAGTATGGACAGACATTTTTATGATTCCTTACAATTATGGTATATACTAATGTTATGAATAGTAGATACTATTACAGGAATAAGTACAACTATCGTAAAATTTTATAAGTTAACTAATAAGCTGAAAATAATTGTTTCATTGAATTTATGACCACAAGTGCCACACGTTATGTCAAGCACATAAAAAACGAAAATTTACAATTTAAAATTAAATGAATTACTCGTAATAAAATAAAATTAAAAATCAAAGTTAATACAAAATAAAGTTGAATATGACTTAATTAAATACATCAATCATTATTTTTAAAATATTAGTATGTATGAGGATTCGCATATTTACCGTTGAGGTGATGAACTAAATGTATTTGTTTCAATAATTTCATCTTCAGTATCACATATAGACTCAGACGGTGCAAAAACTTGGTGATTTCTATGACAAGTCGAATCCACAGTGCCCGTGAGATCTGGCATAGACTTATGACACATGGCTACATACTCAAATGACGAGCCACAGGACTGATGGTGGTGTTGGTCATGTGATGCTGTTCTACGGTATTGTATAGGAGGCGGTAAAATATCATCATCCAAAAATACCTTTCAAACAAACACAGCAATTTTAAAAAGTAAAAAAAATTATTAAACGTTTATCCAAGTTTAAAAAATTCAAGTGAAATGATTGTCAAAAGGAAATTTAATGTTCCCTACTTTCTATAGATACCTCAGCCACTTAATCATTACAACGTGCAGATAGCATTTACCAAAAATCATTCACAGGTATAACATATCACAAGTCACGAATATATTATTATTGTTCATTCATTTTTAAATCTCTGAATAAGTTTGCTTTCAAAAAAATATATATAAATAAAATAGAAAATAATTATTTATACTTACAGAAGCTGCTTCAAATACATTTTCCTTAGAGTCAGCATTTAACAGCCGTCTGAGATCATTTTGTAGTTGTTGGGAATCGGCTGTAGATTTTCTGTTGCAAGTTGTAACAAGTCGAGGACTTTTTGGCGGTGGTAGACAAGTTAAACTACAGCAGTTATCTAAAATTGTAATTAAAATCATATACAATTGAAAAATTATTTAATATTTTACGCGATAAATTTTCTTTACTTTTAATATGGTGACAACATATAGAAGGAGACACTTCATAGGACGTTGAACCTTTGTCCGAAGATCCACTGCTTCGGAGACTTCGTCTTAGCTCTTGTTTTCTGTCCAAAACTGTTTCCGATTTGACATAAAGTGATTTGGTTTCCTGTAAAAGTTCCACTGCGCTCTTTCGTTTGGCTAAAAAAAATTAATAAAAACATATTACTATACACCTTTAGGAAATTCAATACACGGGTGTACATATTTTGTTTCCAACACAAAAAAAAAAAACATTTGATATGCCCACACATAATGTAATTGTTTCCAACAAAAATATTTCGGCGGGGTATTTAGCTCTACTGTCACGAGGGACAAAGAGGAACTTCCTTCCTGGTTTCATGGATCACTGTATCTCTCTCACTATGTTCCATACACAAATGCGTGTATACTGTATATTCAAAAAGGTTATGTACAGTATCGGTTTCGCAGCAGCATGACGAGTTATGCAGACCGTGAATTGAAGGTTCAAAAGACTCTTGGTCGAATGGAAAACGTTGGAAAAAATCGAATAATCAAAATATATAATGCTGTACATAAATTATAACTATTTACATGAAAAATGTTTTTAATTATAATTCCATTAATTGAATTTTATTAAAAATGGAGTGAGTCAAACATAATTTTTTTAAATAGAAACATACATATTTAACTAGCTCATGTTAAAAAAATTACTGATTGATAAGAGATTTCAAACTAGTACTTTTGAAATTATTAATAATTTATACCATGGCGGGAGGAGGAGTGCGGAAAAGATATTTATTGTGATAAAAACGTTATTCCAGTGATTTCCTCAGATAAATAAGCATATAGATATTATTTTACTTATAAATTTGATTAAAGCAAATTTTTTTTCTTTCAAATTTTTAACCAAGATTTTATACGAAACTGGTCAAGTGTTTTTGGTATTATAATCCTGCAAAAGGGACATTAAAAAAACACTAAGTTCTAATATCCTTCCTCTAGTAAAAATTAAAAAATATTATTTAAATAAATATCAAAATGCAGAGAAATTCTAAAGTTTGATAGTTTTGCACCTCCAAACAATATTTTATTTGTCCCAATTCATTTTATTTAAGTAAAAACTTAATTGCTTAAAGCTAGGAATGCGTTATTCCTATGAGTATGAGTTATAGAGATCCCTTGCCAAAAAAATACATTTTTATTTTAGTAATAGTAATGTTTCTGATATGTCAAAGATAAGTAGGAAAATTTATTTTGAATCAATACAAAAAAATGTTGTATCAAATAACTTTTTTCTATCAATAGTTACTAATAAAACTATTTACCAGTGCATTGTGGTCTGTAAGATAATACTCTGTCGGTCCGAAGAATGGCAGCGTTAGTTCCGTTGAGCGTTTTAAAAGGTTGTGTTTGATGGTGTCGTGTGTAATAATTTGCTGTAGATGCAGACACAGTGGTCATGATCAATGATTTAATCGACGAAATTGTAGCATTTTAATAATGAAAAATACCCTGAAAAAAAAACAATTATAGAAAAACTATTTTATAGTGAAACAACCTATGAGTACTTTAAAGTTTATATTTTACGACGACTAACACAAATAGAAGTGTATATAAGTTATCTGGTAGATTTTGCTTTATGTAGTTAAACACATAATTAATGGGGTAACAAATTATTAGCCTCTCTCCAAAATTATATTTAATATCCGCCTATTACAGATAATGAATACATCATATGTAAATAATGTGCTACAAATATGTTATTCTACTTTATATTGTATAATAATATTATGGATTCTATAATTGACATAATCTATAAATATTTTATCATATTTAAACGTAAAATAGAAATATCGATGACTAAAAAAATATTGGAATTTCAATTAAAACTACAAGTAATTAGGGATCACAAAATTCTTGCAATTGTAATTTACACCTTAACAATTTTTGAATAATTATTGTATAAATAAAAAAATGTAATTTTTTATACTATTTAAACAATTTTGTAATAATATAATTTCAATTGACGGAGTAGAAAGAGGTCGGGTAAGAGAATGGAAAAATAATTAATATGAGGTGCTGATAAAATTTCTTTCTTTAAATCCTCTCAACCACTACAGTTGAAAACCCAAATTCAAATCTCGTTGGTTATAGTTATTGTTTAATGTTAATATTTTAGAATAAAGTTGAAATCTGCATTCAAAATTAGACAAGAAACAATTTACTGCATATCGCAAGTAGTCTTAAATCGATGTTTATAAAACAATTTTATTTCTTGCTAGACTAAAATATCTTAATTTTTGAGTGTTAAGATACAAATTTAAAAACATAATTTTAGTATTAAAACTCTTAAGTATTATGCAGAATGCAAATATAGCTTATGAAATATATTTGTTGAAGTTTATATAATTTTTGACAAATTTATTAAATTAATTTAATAGACAAGAACACGTATTTTAATGGAGTAAATTATAATTTGTAACGTAAAAATAAACTTTATTATGCGTTATCACAATCTAAATAATATAAATATGAGATTAATGCTTTTTTAAATTAATATGGAACAAATCAAATAAAGTATTCACTTGAATAAGTATGAATTTATGACATAGTACTATTTGAAATATAATAACTTGGATATCGACACATAATAATATATTTGCTTTAAATAACTAGCCATTTAGTCATCATTTTAATTTCGAGTGGATACTTAATATTTAATTTGTATCTTAATAATTGTAGTTCAATACTATTTACGTTTGACTAACATGAAGTAGGATAACTAATTATATTAATAGTCACCTAAATGCAAAATTTATTGTCGAGAAAAAAATCTTTACGGATTAAAATTTTGGTATCGAAATGAAACAAAAATAAGGTGTCCAGATATTCATTACATTTTACACAAACAGCTAAAAGGACAGGACGTTCACCTTTGTAATCAACCTTCTCTAACTGTAGAAAATGATACGTTAAAAGATCACTGAAAAAAGGAAAACGACTTAGTTGGTATTACAATTCTTATTATTATAAATATAAATCGTTGCCAATATTTTAAAATAATTTGATCATCTAGTTTTATCAAATATTATTTGTTTTCATTTTTAAGTATGATATAAATAACATGATTATTTTACTATGGACTAGTTCGAAGTTTATATAAAAATTGTGTCTGATTTATTCATTTTAGACATTAAATCGTTAAAATTGACAAATCTTTATTTTTGTTAATTTTATGAATATTTATTAAGCTAATGTAGTTATACCACGTAGAAAGTTCAAGTAAACAGATCATAATGTATGAAATGCATAATTTATATTTTGAGTTATATAATTTGACATGAATCTGATAATTTAATTTCACTTAGTTTGGTAAGGTGCGTTACAGATCAAGAAATTTGATTTGAAATAATTTAATGTTAAATAGTTTATTTTATTATGAATGTGAATTAAATGTACAAAATTAGTCCTAAAATCCACAAAAACAAGTTACGAATATTAGATAAAATATTATAAAATTATAATAAATTACGAAATTTAATGACTTTCCAAATTCACGTTTTATCTATTACATCGCCTAATTTTGTCATAAAAATATTCTTATTATCTTTTAAATTCATAAAAAATTACATAAAACTTCTGGTTTAGATTTCATCACATGTTGATATAACATTATAATAACAACTTAAATAAAAACATAACATAGAATTTATTTGTTAAATAAATAAAACACAAAAAAATACATTTTATTTATGAAACTAGTTTCCGTTGATAAAATTTAATTTAATCAAATAAACTTTGTAAGATGTACATTTTTTTAACCCATTGAGTTCAATTGACCAAACACGGTTTAAAGGGACGTTTACTACTTAATTACGACTTAAAATAGAAATATCATGAGGTCATTCTAATGCAGCGGATTACTCAAATGATTTGCAAAGGGGTACAGAAAAGTATTATGAAACGTTATCGTGCTTTCAAAGATTACAGACAAGAATGAGGCACTGAAACAGCCCGTAAAAAATCGGGTCGAACGTGCTTCAGCTGACGCAGGCGGCGAATGCCTTTTTATTTCAGGACTCGCCTGAAGATGCATTCGAATAGTCTCGATCGTTTTATTATAAACATAACAACATATTAAATATTAAAGACGGGACCGTTCTGTTTTATTATTTTAGATTCTTAATTTATAATTGCACGGCAGGTGGGCGTAACGTTTGCAGACGAACAGTGTTCGTGATCGTACTAGTCTTGTGCGAAAATATCAGCCGCACGATTAATGAAATCCAAAGACAAGAGATTACACTTAACAATTAAAATTTGAATCCATATACAGTGGAATAGCCTCTATCAGTTTTTGTATAGCTCATAATATAACACAATTTCATTAAAAAAATAAGCCATATTAATAAAAATAATCAGATCGTCTATCTACCTTAGTATATGTATTTTATTTCTTCTACTAATCATTGGAATTCAATAATTGATACTCATTACTGCTCTATGTATTGTTGTAACAATGCATAGACTGGTAAATAATATCCTAAATTATAAATGACCATTTCCTATAATTTAAATTTAAATATTTTACTAATTAAACAACACAATCTAGTTCATTGTAAATATCATCTCGGTCATGTTTTTTATGTGTCTGCTTAAAGTAAAAGTGAAAAATATCATTACATATTAATATAATAACTCAAAAACTTATAGCTATAATCAAAGTATTGAGTAAAACAATTTATTTTAGCTTAGAATAAAATTAAATACAACCTCTAAAAAGAGACGTTAAAACTTTAGGCGGTTTTTGTGGCCTAAAACAATACTTAGCAGAGAAAGTGTATCTAATGCTTTGTTGTCGCATTATGTGTGGGCCATTTGTTCTCACCCGCGCCCTTTTCCAGTTGGCGACAACTGTAAACAAAGACTTCCGCTAAGCAGTAATAATAATAAAATTCCGCAAAATGCTTTTCCATCATACATTTTAATTTCGTGATATGTAAAAAGAAATGACCATTACTACAATAAAGCACCCTATACATAATATATGATAGTAACAAATAATGCCGACCATCAAGTGGTGATTTATTTAAGAACGATAATACATTCGGTCTAAGATTTATTGGTTTCAAGAATCAATGAGATTCTATGGGTGTAAACTATATTCATACCCATTTAATTATTTTGGGTATTCAGAAATTATTTGAAGTTGAAAATAAGAAAATTGGTACTGAAATTCCTAAATTTAAATAAATCATGAATTTATATACTGGTATATTAGTTGTAGAACAGTAATACTAATTACTAATTAATAGTTAATATTCTTTGTAATAATTAATGAATGAGGTAGTCAGAGAATATCATAACTGTAAAAACTAGACATTTTGCATCGTCACAATTTTTATTAATAAATAGATTAATAATGGTTTGTAGAGAAAAACGGATTTCTATGAAATTTATAATTAACCCAACCAAGTTATTCTTCATATTATGTTCACAAATATTATGTAAGTGTCAACATTACTAAAATGACGTTATAATTTTATAATTCAATACAATTTATTTTCAAAATATTTCATGTTTATATCACAACAATAAAGTCATATAAAATGTAGTTTTATGAAAAATAAACGTAATAATTACCGTACCGTTAATATATATTCACGTTGGGGTTATAATAATTATTTCAGTAATTATTTTTAAGTATTCGTTTACTGTTTTAAGAAGTTGTAGAAAACAATTTTTTTAAACTACTTAATAAATATAAGACTAATTTTCCAAGTATGAGCAAAAAAAATAACAAATCATATAAATGCTTTAAAGTTAATAAACAACAGAATAATGTTCACCATTATGTCGCTGCACGAAATCCCCGACACATTGAGTGAATAATACGACATATATTAGCATAGAAAACCAATTTTAAGATATTTGTATACATCTTCTTGATTATTGTAAAACATCTTTACAGTATCTCAGAGGACGTTATGTGGAAAACTCGTTTACTGGTAGTAGACATTATAAAACCTTAAATTTATTAACACTTTGATATATTTTAATGGAAATCCTTACGATAAATGTATAGAAACAACAATAAAATCAAAATGATACAAAGATTAATGAAAACTGAAACCGTAATTTTTAAAAATATAGACACAATTTCTTACGATGTTAAATTTATTTTTACCATTAAAAATTTCTTTTCTTACTAAGATCCATTCGTGATAAAATATTATTTCAATTCTATGATAAAACATTTTAGACATAATTTATGTAACATTTTGACGTATGAGACACTGATAAACTATTCAATAAAAAATTGGTTTTAATAAAAATTATTTTTTATTAACATTCTTTGGAAACTAATCGTATTTCTTCTAAAAACAATTCATTTAATTTTAGATTGGAATTGTAGCTACGAAAAATTATTTGTATATTAGATTAAATATCTGACCAAGCCAGACCTCATATTGGCTTAAGTGATCATAGTATTTTATGCAACACAATCTTTA